AGAAAAGGGAGAAGTAGGAGGCCAGGAGCTGGAGAACAAAAAAAAAAAGAGAGAGAGAGAGAGAGAGAGAGAGAGAGAGAGAGAGAGAGAGAGAGAGAGAGAGAGAGAGAGAGAGAGAGAGAGGGAGGGATGGAGGGAGGCAAAACAGCATTCAGACCCATGAGATGTGTTGTTGTTTCCGGTATTTGTGAACACAGCTGGAAGCTTCTAGAGACTGCGCAGAGGCGAGTGTGACTAGGCTGAGGACAGAGCTTGATCTTCTGCAGTCAACTCACAAGCAGGTAGACCCAACTGTCGCTTATTTTCCTTTCTTTTTTTATCCTATTTCTTTTCATAGAGCCTTGTTTGGGAAGCAGCCTTGTACATGAGAGGTACGGTAAAAGGAGAGTTAAAAGAAGAAATGGGGAAGAGAAACTGTGAAAAAAGCCAAAAGAAAGAACAAAAAGAAAGAACGAAGAGAAAGAACGAAAAGAAAGAAGAAAGAACCGCGCATGTACCCAGTCCATGGGGGCTGAGTGGTACACCCATGAACTGTTCATAAACAGCCTATGTTCGAATCGTGGAACGTGGGGCAAGTCAGTTGAAGAGGATACCTCAAGGCCATTGCCCTTTTAAACCACCACTAACTTTCCCGTACATTGGCCACGGGGACGGTCCCCGCTCATTCCGGAGGCCGAAACGAAAACGGCGACTGCCAATGAAATTTATCAACGGTGGCTGCCGTTGGGCGCAGCCCCTGAAGAATGCCGTATAGGCTATATTCCCACTTAGGATTACACTGTGAAAGGTGGTGGTGCACCTTTCACAGTGGCCGTGCACGTAGCTCCTAGCGGCGCTTCCCAATGGAGGAAGTTCTCGTCTCTGTTCTTCATCTTTTTTTTGTCCCTGGCCTCCTCATCATCTTCATCCTTCTTCTCCTTTCCTGATCTCCTTCCCTACTTATCTCCTCCTTTCTTCTCATCATGATCATCATCACCAGGGGGGTCACCACCTCCACCAGCTCCCTTCATCACGCAAGTCTCCCCAGGGGGGGTCACCACCTCCACCAGCTCCCTTCATCACGCAAGTCTCCGCACTGAATCTTTCTACCCCAAGAAGGACTTGGGTTACCTTATTGTACATGGTGTGAAGTGTGGCAGTAGTGAAGTTATTCCACTTACCTCTGAATTCATCATGTTGTGCAGCGAGGCAGTCTACAGCGTTATGCAGTGGCAGCAGATTCTCTTGTGGCTTGGAGGGCCGCTTCAGTCAATAGTCCGATTTGGTGTTTGACCTCCGCTGGTTCTTCCCCCTTGGCTTGCTTGTTCAGCCTAGCAGCTATGGCTGCTCCGTTATCTAGCAGCTTCTTTCTCGCAGCCGCTTCCTTCCTCTTCTGCTGTATCACCCTCTGCGTTGCTGGCATATGAGCCTCTACCTCGGCCATCTGCGCCTCTTCCCCATCCAGCACTTCTAAGACCTTCTGGTAATCCCCCACCTCATTCTGCATCTCTTCCACTGCTCTGCCGGGTTTGGTCGCATGCTGGACAGTACCGGTCATTGGGCTAGACACGTTGATTAACGAGTGCCTGCTGCTCATGCCCGCACTTCAAGGTAGTGCCTCCAGCTGGCAAGCTACTACCCTAGACTGACCTAGGCATACACGGGACTTTCACTCTCACGGGGTTAGGGTCACACTGGGTACACATGCCCCCAGGTAGGCCGACAACCACTAACCACTTCCTTACAAGGGGACGAGCCTTTCCTCCAGGAGAGATCGGTACTCTGACTGACCAATCAACATGCAGATCGACTGCTGACTCAGAAATGACGAGATGACATCCACAAAAATTGACTTGCAGCAGCCGTCGCCAAGAAAGTTGCATGGAGAATTCACAAAAACACATTAAAAAAAAAACATAATTTTTTTCAGCAGGCACGGCTAAGGGGCAGCACTTCACTTGGGTCTTCGCATTGACGCTCCCCGCGGGTCTTCGTCGCTTGCAGGTACGCAGGTCTTGCTCCCAACCCTAATTCTTGCGCCTTCTCCTTCGGCCTGTCCTCGACGATCAAACCCCGAAACTTCATACACCTGCCGGCCTTATGCCTTGACAGCTTTCTTCCACCACGGCAGTGCAATGGGCTCCAGCTCTGATACCACTGCAATGAACCTCACAATTCCAATCCAACTCGCACACACAAGATGAGAGCATTCACATGAAAGTTCACACCACACCGGAGAGATGACACATGAATCAGCGCCAAACGTATTTCCACTCAAAAATATGATATAATACAATTGAGGAGTTCCAAGTATCCAGCAGGAGTAGCCTCGACTCAACGCTGCAACCTCAACACAGGTACGTGCCCAACTCCCCCTCCATCGACATCTGGCTTCTCTCTCTCTCTCTCTCTCTCTCTCTCTCTCTCTCTCTCTCTCTCTCTCTCTCTCTC